GTGGACTGAATGCATCATGCCAGATGCTCTGCTGACTCCATGCCCTGGTAAGTTCAACTGTCAGGAGGACACATTTCAAAGTGAAGATACACACACACACACACACACACACTCTGACTCTACTTAGCTCTCCATTCCATGTAACAGGAACATCTGCCTCCCTCCCCAGCACACAAGATTGTTGGAGGACATTGTATTCATCATCCATCTTGATGACAAAAAGAACCTTAAAAATAAAACATCAGGTCTGTCTGATAACGTGCTTCAGTGCACAGCCCCACCCCGATAAGGAGAGATGTATGCGTGTCCCCTTTCACCCATGCCAATGGTGGTCATTCTTGGCTGTGCCAAGGTCTTCCAAAGTAACGGGCAATTATGGGTGCCCAACCTGACACACTGCAGAAAACCCTCAAAGGCCTCAAAATCATAAGCCCTGAAGTCTTATTATGCTAGTCACTCAGCTAGGCAGTATTTTGATAATATTGGGCATAATTCTGTAGCTTGCCACAGTGGGCGTATGCCTCACATCATAGATGTGTTTGGTCTGGGGTGAGTGGGGAGGGAATGCAAAATAAAAACACTGCAATTAACAGCAAATTCTGAATGAACCGTAATCCTGTCTACCTTAGAACCCAGAATAACGAATAATGCTGTGCCAGCGTATTCTCCATGGCCCACAATAACTATTAATAAAGTCAGGATTTGCTAAGTGCTCTGATTTTGCAATACAAGAGGTATTTTAAAGGAAGGTGTTGAGTGCAAGAAGTACCCACTGAATAATGCATGCCTGGCTGGAAGTCTGCAAGAGCTAGCTTCTCAACAAGGACAGAGCACAGCCCAGTGTGTGAGACACAGTTGGAAACATAAAACTCATGGCCTAGCTCTCCAGTGTACTGCAGAAGCACAAGGCTGCTATGAACCCCATCTACCTGGAATTTGGGTGTTTGGGCACAGAACAGACTGTGTTCGCTGGAAATGGGGCCATGCCAGAGATGCAAAGGGGGTGTTTCTTTGTCCTTTGCAGCATTTAATTATTTGTTAATAGTCAAAAAGGGTAAGTGGTGCTCTTGACATATCCTGATTTTCTTTTTGACTAGGTGATTCTTGACTACCTGCTCTTACAGGACTCCTACTGAAGTTGCATTTATCAATAATGACCTTGCAGATGAGGGGTGCCACAAGTTGACGTGGCAGAGACAATGGCCATACCCTGCTACTGACCCACATTGTGGCCTTTGGCAAGTCATATCACACCCCTTTTGGCCTTGTCTTTTTGCCTTTTGGTAGGAATTGCTTCATGAGGGAAATTGTCTCCTTCAGATAAAACTAACATGCTAATACGATGCTGGTCTCATTAGAGCACATTGACCACTGCTGAAATACAGAAAATTATATGCTGAGTCAAAGAAGTCAACTGAGTTAAATATTGTTAGATAAAACTTAGGTTTTGGGATCATGAATTTGAGGAGCTGCCAGAAAAAAAGGACCATCAGTACTGAAGAAGAAGTTTGGCTAATAGGCAAATATTCCTTGTGACAAAAATTGACAGTTAAACACCACATGTTCTTCCCCATATCCAAGTAATTTCTGTAACAGCTCAGTTCACAATGGTTCCACAGTTTACAAAGGTGATATTCCGTTTATTTCAGAACAAACACTGCTTGTAAGTGAGAAAAGAGACATCAAATTGTCAAACTCAAGGACATCAAAGGAATAAGACATACTGTGAGACAAAATCAAGACCAACTCTTGTTTACAAAAGCACTCAGCAACATTTTTTTTCTCTTTTTCACTCACTTTATGTCACTATTAAAAAAAAAATCTCATAGTACTCTGATGCACTGTGAGCATTTCCTCTATGGTACCAGATGCCACTGCAGGAGAACAAGAACAGGACAGCAAACAGGGTAACTCAAAGTCAGTCTGAATTGTATGATACCTACCAGTCCTGGGGATTTACTCGGTTTCCATATTTAGAAAATTCAGTCCTTTGCAAAACATGGAAAAGGAACTATCCTCCTGCTTGGGATACTGGACATAAGGTAAATGCTTTCCTTGGATATTTATTGACTCTTACAAACAACATATGCATGGGCAGGGGACTGCTCTTTAGTTACAGCCACTGCTCGTAGTGCCTTGACACTGTTGGGGGAACAGGGAGAAACTTGTAATTATTGAGAGAAACCACAGCAGTCCCTATCATCATGCCTTAAAGCAACCAGTCCTACTGCTCTGTATGGTCCCTCTGCTAATACATGCAACAAGGTGTTCGTTTTGCGGAGGTCTGAACCCAGGCAAGTGCCCACCTCTCCTGCAATGCCCAGCTCTGCCTGGGCACACAGGCAGAGAAAGAAGGGAGCTGAGCTCTTCTCCAGGAAACCCTCCACCCCGTGCTGCCACAGGGCCAGGACTCGGGCCCACCACAGAGCATTCTTGACCCACCAAATACAGCCACATCAACTGAGCAAAGAAATTAAGAGCAAATTCTAGAGATGAGACGAACAGCCACTGGGCTTTCATACCTCCTATTCGTGCCTAAGGAAACCCCACCACAACTGCTTTTACTGCCAACAGCCACCAGAAGGTCCCAGCCTGGGAACTGCTCAGAGGCAGCAGGAGGAGCTCCAGCAGGCCAGCACCTCTGAAGAACAGGTTCCTCAATTACTTACCGAACAAAGAGTCTGATTTTCTGGGTGCACTCAAGTTCCAAAATTATTTGTGTTCGAACAGTTTCTTCTGCTCCTTTGGGGCCAACTGTATGAGATTCAACAAGGCTCAATGCCGGGTCCTGCACTTCGGTCACAACAACCCCATGCAACGCTACAGGCTTGGGGAGGAGTGGCTGGAGAGCTGCCTGGCAGAAAAGGACCTGGGGGTGTTGGTTGACAGCCGCCTAAACATGAGCCAGCAGTGTGCTCAGGTGGCCAAGAGGGCCAATGGCATCCTGGCTTGTATCAGGAATAGCGTGGCCAGCAGGACCAAGGAGGTGATAGTGCCCCTGTACTCAGCACTGGAGAGGCCACACCTCGAGTACTGTGTTCAGTTTTGGGCCCCTCACTACAAGAAGGACATTGAGGTGCTGGAGCATGTACAAAGAAGGGCAACGAAGCTGGTGAAGGGTCTGGAGCACAAGTCTTAGGAGGAGCGGCTGAGGGAGCTGGGGTTGTTTAGCCTGGAGAAGAGGAGGCTGAGGGGAGACCTTATTGCTCTCTACAACTACCTGAAAGGAGGTTGTAGCCAGGTGGGGGTCGGTCTCTTCTCCCAAGTAACAAGCGATAGGACGAGAGGAAACGGCCTCAAGCTGTGCCAGGGGAAGTTTAGG